GCCACCCCCTGGGCCGCGTGCAGAGCAGGCCCAGCGCCATCCTCCGAAACCACCCACTACCCTACCCGGTACCCGGCTGTTGCGCCCCGGCCGTCTGTACAAACAGGGCAGTTCAGGCTTGATGCCTGCTGTCCTCCAGCCAGTCCAGTTTCTGGTTTGTGCCGGGCGGAGGGCACCTGCCCCCCAACAGACTCGGCGCCGAGCCTCTGCCGAGCCCCAGGCAGACGCGTTTCACAACCCTGCGAGCCCCTCCTGTGCGCTGCGCAGAAGACCCTTGGGGCTCTCAGGGAGACCCCGGGACTCCGCCCAGTCTCCTCCAACTTTGTCCAGGCGCCAGGCCCTCTACTTGCTTCCTTTCCATCCTTCCGTTGTAGCCTTTTCTCTACCACGTGCTGAGCTCTGTGACCATCCCACCCCCAAACCTGGGAAGGGCTGGGGCCCCTCCAACACAGCTTGGACGGGAATCCTTCCCAGCGCCCCTAGGAGAACACTTCAGCCCCGCCGAGACCCCATCCGAGCACCCAGAACGTGCACCGACTTCAGACCCTCAGACCCCCATCAGGCCCATGGGAGCCAGGAGCCCGGACGCATACTTTTGCCTCCAGCGGAGCTTGGTGCAGGGCGACTGTTCCAGCAGCCATAGCAGAAAGCCAAGGCTGCAGGGTGAGCGCATGCGCACTTTCACTAGTGAAGAGCACAGCTATCAAGGGAAGGCGATTTTAATGTTAAATCCACCAGAGTCAATGCCATCAATTCACATCCAAAATCAGCTAAATGCAAGGGGCGGGACCAGCAGATAGCACAATGGGTAACGGTTACGTGGCTGGGCTCCCACATAGTCAGCCACAGTTTGAGTGACCCTGAGGCTTGAGATCTGCGGGATACATGAGAGGAGGACGCAGAAGAGATTGTGGCGCAGCCATTCTCTCAGGGGGTGATTTCTCTCTTTCTGTCTCTCTGCACATGCACCCTACAGCAAAAATCCCTAAAAAAATGTTTAATTTAAAAAAATGGAAGGGTGGGGCCTTGGGGCATACATGTGGCAGGTTATCGAAAGCAGATGACACCGGGCGATGCGGCAGGAGAACAGTCTCCGGCTGCCCCACTGTTTGAAGGACCCTGTAAGCTGGCACCACCCATCACCAAATGCAGAGTACCCTGCTGTGGAAGTAACTGCTAGGCCCAGGCCGGGCTGACAGGTGCAGAAGGTACATTCGACACCTTTTTCCCTAAGGGAGCCTGAAATGCAGGAGCAGGAAAAACCACTGAGAAGGGCTAGCAGAGGGGGGCCGGGGAGGGCCTGCTATGTGGGGTCAGTAGAGGTAGCTCTCACTCACCCACTAATTCAGCACACACTCACTGGCAGAGAGCCAGTGCCAGGCCCCGGGAGGCACTGGGATTCAGTGAACGAGGGCAAAGTCCATATTCAATTCCGCTCCCTGGGCACAGGAGGCAGCACAGGGGACTGGTCTTCACAGAGCAGCTGGACACCCTGAGGAGGCTCCTGGGACAAGCTGTGGGCATCCGTCCACACACGCGTGACTCAGGACTAACAGCACCACTGCTGATCCCGTCTCCCACAGCCCGACCTTTACACGGATGTCAGACTCAGGGCTTGCCATGGCACCCTCCAACCAATGTAACAAACACAAGAACTTTCCCAGTTTCTCAGTCATCTCGCGGGAGGAAAGAGGGTGTCAAAAATGAACTGTTGCAGGCATGGTGGTTAAGACTCTGGATCCCACATGGCTGACTGTGTAGTTCAAATCCTGGGGCCAGTGGCTTGAAACACATTCCAGGCATGTGTGTGGGTGCAAGCCCAAAATCCTGCGAGAAGACTGGAGAAGGGACTGCAGCAAGGCCACCCCTCTGGGGCATACTTTCTTTCTCACCTTCTCTGTCTGTCTCTCCCCCTGGAGGGGTGCTTTTTGTTTGTTTGTTTGGAGAGGTTTTTGCTATAGGGCGCATGCGCTCGCCAGACAGACAGAGAGAGAGACAGAGAGACAGAAAGCGAGAAATCACCCCCCAGGGGGGATGGCCATGCCGCAATCCCTTCTCCTCTCGGGATCTTGGGCACGCACGTGTGTGAGTTTAAGCCACTGGGTCCGGGACTCGAACTACAGTCGGCTACATGGGAGTCCAGTGACATAGCCATTACACTAACTGCTGGTCCCAGGAAGAGGTACTTTTGTATGTTCTCTCTGGCTCTCTCTCTTCCTCTCTCTCCCTCTCTGGTGAATGCACACACCCTCTGGCAAATAAAATATATATGTGTGTGTGTGTGTCTGTGTGTGTGTCTATCTATATCTACCTATCTATATATCTATATATGTGTGTGTGTGTGATATGTGTATATATATACAGTGGTCAGAAAAGTCATGACATGGTCTTCTATGCAAAAATATGTTGTGACTTTTCTGACAACCCTATATATATGTGTATATGTATACGCACGCACACGCACGCACACACACACACACACACACACACATATATACACACGAGATGTCAGGCCAGACCACACTGCCATGATAAGACAGTGCTCCACAAGGCTAACCCGTGTGGACCCCATCCGGTTTGTATCTGGAGCCCTCCCAGGGCACAGCAGGCATGTCTGAGCCCACCTGTGACCTGGGGCTCATCCATAACGCTGTGGCAGACTATAGCATGAAGACCCCACTGGGGGTGCTGTCTCTGCCTCTCTGTCTCTCACTTGTTCACAGAGCAAATAACCTTTAAAAAATGAACTTTAATACAATGAAGTATACATTAACTATTAGTTAACTAATTTTGAAAATCAATATTTAATTTTAAATACAAGTTCTTTATATAAATATTAGGTCACTGGAAAAGTTGTGACACATTTTAGCTAGACACATATGTCATGACTTGGAATTCCAAGGACCCGATACCTTAAGGATATTAAGGATACCTCCTTAAGTTTTAACTGCTGTTTTTTCTTAACTATCATTTCCCATGACTTGGTTTTCTCAGAACTACTCAGCACTGCCATCACTTCTGATTGTCTACCCAGACCTGCTCGTTTGAGGCCAGCCCTCAACACTCCCACAATTTCCCTCCTGCTTTCTTCTTTTGTGCAATTAGAGAACTACTTCTCCATTCAACTTACATCAACATTTATTAATGAACTAGTAAAAGTCTCAGAGGAAAAAACTAGACAGAACACAGCCTACTAACGTATAGTACGTCACGGAGTTCTAACGGAGTCCGAGTGAAGGCCATCTGCTATCCCGCAAATGCTGTCATCTGGGGCCTTTAGCTCACAGCACAGGTGTGCACTGAGCAATGGTTCTCACTCGCCGACACACTTTCTCAGTTACCGTGGCAAATGAGGAAAGGCAAAGTCGCATGACTGCCTTATCCTAAGTGAAATGAAGCTAAACTGTCTCTCTTTTTCTCGTGGTAAAATGTGCATGACAGAAAACCTGCCATCTCATCAGCGCACAGTGTACCCTCTGGTGGCACTGTAGATGTCCCTCGTTTGCAACCATTACCACCACCCATCTCCGAACTTTTTCTCAGACTGAAACTCTGAAACGCTAACTCCCATCCTTCCCTCCACCAGTTGTCCCATCGGCAATTACAAATACTGCACAGGCTCCTGCAATGCTCCCCTCCTGGGATGGCAGCCCCCACTCCCCAGCTCCAGGGACCGGCCTCTTGGGGGACAATCCCTCCCTGGAATGGGCAGGGCTTGGTCTCAGGATGGCCCAAGTGCCCCACATCCCCTGTGCACCCTCCCACCACCGCACTGCACTGCACAGTGAACAGATCATACACGGTGGGGTCTGCACTCCCAGGAGAATCCAGCACCACTATGACCTAACCAGAGCCAGGGCCCAGGCAGCAGTGCGAGAGATGGGGAGTGGCTGCAGATACCGGGGACGCCTCACCCACCTGCCTGCGGCGCACACTGGGCTACGCGGCAGTCGTAGTGGGGGCTGGTAGGCCACGAACAGATCAACAGACTGGCACTCTCCGAGATCTGGGAGGTAAGGATCCCTGTGTTAGATCCTCTCTTTCAGAGCAGAATATCATTTAAAGATATTACACACTAAATGTGTATGAAAGGACATGTATTTGAATACTCAAAAAGTTAGGCAAATGAAAGTATCTGCTCTAAAAGGAGCATGGGCATATAATCAGAAGCAGATACTACGCCACCGATGCAAGACAATTCCAAGTAGATACGTTGCCAAGAATCTTGAGATTTACAGGCTATGGGACCAGCAGTTAGCGTAATGGCTATGTCGCTGAATGCCCATGTAGCCGACCATGGTTCGAGTCCTGGACCCAGTGGCTTATACTCACGCCAGGCACATGTGCATGCATGCCCAAGATCCCGAGAGGAGAACGGAGGAGAAGGGATTGTGGCAGGCCATCCCCCCTGGGGGTTGATTTCTCGCTTTCTGTCTCTCTCTGTCTCTCTAGCAAGCGCACGTGCCCTCTAGCAAAAACCTCTTATAAAAAAAAATTAAAAAAAAACAATAATAATAAAGAGATTTACAGGCTATGAGTTACCAGGGCAACAGGGCTGGCATTCCTAACAGGGCAGGATCTGGTCTCCAAACATGCTTTCCATGCCACGTATTTTAATCATTCAGCGTGTTTAGGACTCTCACTTAGATGACACGGGGCAGATTTACTTTAGTAAGTGGTTTAAAGGCAGCCCAGACTGCTGTGTCATTGAACCAAAATAATAGTTTGTATGAAACTTATTTATTCCTCAGACTTCATCCTATTTAAAGAAGCAGTGGAAAGAGGTTCTCAGTGTTTCAATACATAGCAAGGCTGTCTTACTTTCACTTATTTCAGAAATTCTACATGGGCGATGTGTTTAGAATGCCACATGTACCTTGTCGGAAAACAGTCTGGGGACTCTGGAGGCTGGTTCCGTGGACGACCTAACAGGTCTGCAGCCCTGTGGCACCTGGCAAGATCCGCACTCTGGCGCCTGTCGTCCCGACAGGGGCACATACCCTGATGCTTCCTTCCTGTCGCTGCTGCTTCCAGTTCCGCCCGCTGTCACTGAACATCAGGAGGTAGCTGGTCACCCAGTCAGAGCTCCCGTACCCACCCTGGGTGGCCACGGCCGTGATCTCCATCCTGGCTCCAAGGTCAATCTGCAGCCACTGGTATTTATTTGACACAAGCGGGGACCAGCCACCGGCTCCTTTGTGTGGAAACAGAAACAAAAAAAAAGATAAATATTTGAAAATTGGATTAGTCTGTAAGAATGTGAACAGAAAGGAAATGATAAAGGTCATAGTTTCAAATCCTAGAATACATAACCTCTCAACACACCCACAGACACACACACACACGGAACACAGAGAGGAGACGTGGGTGAGGCCTACACTAAGTGCTTTTAGCTCATACCCCCGGACTCTGGCGTCTACCTCATTAACTTAAAGTGCTAACGCAACAGGTAGACAGCGATAGGGCGGGCGCCACCACGCCCACAACAGGTAGACAGCTGAACACCACCAGGCACATCGCCCCTTGGGACTAGTGTTTTTACTGGCCTGTATGCATAACCTGCCTTTTGCTGGACATGAAGGAAAATATCAGACGATGGGAGAGCTAAATTCTTAATTCTGGATTGCCAGTGTTAAGGGTTGGAATAGGAAAGGTAGTTGTGGCATAGCCTAGCATTCAGATACTTAAAACACAAGGAGAAACAGACATGTTTTGTTTTGTTTTTCAGAGAGATTTTTGCTAAAGGGTGAGCATGCACACCAGAGAGACATAGAGAGACAAAAAGACAAAAAGCAAGAAACTACCCCCCCAGGGAGGATGGCCATGGCAAATCCCTTCTTCTCCATCCTCCTCCCGGGATTTTGGGCACACACGCCTGCTGTCAGCTTTTCGAGCTGCCAGCTCCAGGACTTGAACCACAGTCAACCATGTGGGAGTCTGGCAAAGTAACCGCTATGTCATCAGCTGGTCCCAGAAGCAGACATCTTAGAGAACATTTTGAAAGGCAGTGTGGTAGAGGTGGCAGGAGCACAGGTGACGGTGACTTCGGTGCAGGGAGGGAGAGTTGAGAAAGCCCATCAAGCCGTGACACCTCAGCTGTCTGAGTGACAAGGAGCCTCTCGGACATATAAGACACATGCAGACGGAAATTACTGTGCTTTGCTGTGTCCAATGCTTGTCCAAAACGGAAGAGTACAATGTCTGATGACGAACTGCTAACAGATTTTGTTCTTTCAGCTTAGTAGAAATATGAGTTATGTATTTGAGTTTAGATTTAACATACTGAATTTTTTCAAATTTTAAATTCATATATAATTATAAAAATTGGGAAATAAGTTTGAAAACCACTTTGATATTTTGCTAATAATCAATATCTAGAAAACAACGCTGTCAGGCGCCAGCAGGTGGCATGGTGGTTAAGGGCACTGGACTCCCACATGACCAACAGTGGTTCAAGTCCCGGACCTGGCAGCTTTCTTTCTCTCTCTCTCTCTCTCTCTCTCTCTCTCTCTCGTTCAGTCCCTCTCTGGTCAAATTAAAGTAAATAAATAAAGCTAAATAAAATAATTCTTTAAAAAAAAAAAAAAACTGTCTCGTAAACAATCCCTAGAATGCCTACTATGCAGAAGGGAGTTCAAAAAGGGCTAGAAATGGCAGGGTTAAGGGCAACTCCCACCCCCACCACACACAAACTAGCAGTGGGGGCCTGCAATCCTTAAAAAAATATGGGAAGCTGCAAATCTTCGGTCAGCACATGTGAACGACAGCCCAGAAACGGAGCCCAGAGGTTTGCACCTAACGTTCGGGGTCACTACTGCCTAAGCCACAAGAAAGGCGCGTCTTCCCAGCTCATCCACAGCCTTTCCCACTGCCACCTCCCTCTCCAGCCTCAGCTGCCTCACAGAAGCTGGACAAAAAGCCATGATTTATGCATGTCATATAAAAACGTGTCCGGGGCCCATGTTCTTGCAAAGAAAAAGGCTCCAAAGCTGAGACGCCACCAGCACAGGAAGGTCCTCCCCACTCAGGAGAAGCCCGGGAAGCACGCTGTGAGCAATGAGTTCCCAGAGAGACGCACTACACACCCCAAATTCCCTCCCATCGCACCACAGGGCAGAGGCAGCATGCTGGAGGCAGAGGTGGCACCGCCCTCCACTCCAGTGGAGGAGCGGCCACGCCCCGGGTTGAGGTCTGAGGCCTCGCATCTGAACCATCTATACCTGCTACGTTTTAGTAGCGTTCTAGGGAGAAACTGAACTTGCACTGTGTATTTTGGAGTAGAAGGTCAGAAAATGGAGGAAAAATAAAAACTTGCCACCCACGCGGGACCAGCGCAGGACCAGCCCTGCTGCTCATCATTTGCCATGATCCCACGTGCACCCAGCAGGTGACGCTGCTTCGCAGTCTCTGCCTTCCAGCCAAGAAAAGCAAAAAACATTTGGGAGGGCACTACTATGGTATGAATGGCCCAGAGGCAGGGTGGCACGGAACTGCTATCGCATGGTGCTTAGAGGTGGGGCTTAGTCAGAGTGCTCAGGTCTCCAGGGTTCCACCCACTCCTGCACTGAGGGCTGAGAGCACTGGACTGATGGGGTCCCATGGACCTCTCACCAGGGACGCCTCCACTGTGGACCTAACAGGTCTAAACATTTTAGAAAAAAAAAAAAAAAAAAAAACCAGCACACAGAATCTGATGTACAGAGGCAAAAATTACCCTGTTGCATGCACTTTTAGAAAAACCTGATCTACAAGCCCATTCGTTGTGATTTGAATGGCTTAGTCTAGTACCTGGGAACACAGGCTGACTCCATCAGGCTCCTGGCCTGAGTGGTCAGGTGGGCCAATGGAACAGAATAGAAACCCCAGAAATAAACTCCCTAACATAAAGCCAACTAATTTTTAACAAAAGGTACCAGTCAATCCAGTGGAAAAAGGAAAACCTCTTTAGCAAATGGTGCTGACAAAACTGGATATCCACCTGTGGAAAGATGAATCTGAACCCCTATCTCTCACCATTGACAAAAATCAACTCAAAGTAGATCAAAGATCTAAACCTAAGAACTCAAACTATAAAGTGACTGCTGGAAAACTCTGGGGAAACTCTGAGAGACACTGGGGGAGGTAAAGACTTCTTAAATAAGACCCCCAGAGCACAGGCAATAATCCCAGAAATAGATAAGTGGGATTACATCAGATTAAGAAGGTTCTGCACTGCCAAGGACATGGTAATCAGTGAATCGACAGCTCAGAAAGGGAAAGTATTTTGTAAACGATTTATCACATAAAGTACCAATAACCAGAACACACAGGGAATTCAAGCAGCTGTCCAAAAATGATGATCAATAATATTAAATAATGGGAGAATTAGTTGGAAAAAAAATAAAACTCTAAGGAAGACATATGAATAGCCAAAGGCATATGAAAAAATGTTCACTATCCCTCATTACAAAGAAGATGCAGATCAAAACCACAATGAGATACACCCTAGTCCCAGTCAGAATGACGAAGGCTAAAAAAATAAAAATAAATAGTAAGTGCTGGTGGGGGTGTGCTGAAAGGGGAACTCTCTTACACTGCTGGTGGGAATGTAAATTAGTCCAGCCACTGAGGAGAACAATATGGAGATTCCACAAAAATTTACAAATAGAACTACCATATAATCCAGCAATCCCACTCTTTGGTATCCACCAAAGGACAGAAGACTCCTTAGTTGAAAAAGTGCTTGCACATCAATGTTTACTGTGGCATTATTCACAATTGCTAAGACATAGGACCAACCCAAATGTCCATGAACAGAGGAATGGATTGAAAAACTGTGGCACATATACTCTATGGATTACTACTCAGCCATAAAAAACAAGACCCTGGCTTTTGACAGAAAGTGGATGAATATGGAAGATTTACTGCTGAGTGAAGCAAGCCAGGCTATGAAGGAGAGACATTGTATGTCTCCACTTATTATATACAGACTGTCCATACTCTATAGCCTAAACTGAATGACTAGAGGATATAGAAACATAGAAAATTATTATAAATACCAGATACAGTGTGGGAAGAGGGTGGGAGGAGGAGAGTCTGAGGAAGGACATTAAGGGGAAAAAATAGTGAGACAAGGCATTTATGGGACAAAGAAATGAGTTATTATCTGTTGAAGATAATATGTATAGTATTCTCACCTGGACTGGTGAGAAACCTACACATGTTGGAATGATCACTTTGCAAGCTAAGTGACATATGTGATTAAATGTATAAAAGAAATTGAAATAACAAATTTGTAAAAAATTTTAAAAAATAGCTTCTGACAAGACGATGCCCCTCAGTGCCGAGCCTGCACCAGCATATCACATGGGTAAAGAGAACGTGGTATCGAGGCTGGAGAACAGCACCATCTGGAAAGCTATTGTGGCCCAGATCAAAGGCCAATCACAATAACCGTCACTGTATAAACAAAAACTATTTTCAGAAGCAAAACGCAAAATTAAAGCCTAGCATGGTATACTGCAAGAGGATTGTTTAGATGAGCTTTTTCATTTCTTTTAAAAATTTTGTCTGGATTAACTTGAGAATATAAAGTTTCTTAAGAAGATTTTTGAGAAGAAAAAAAATTATCAATAGAATAGGATGTCCCTCTTCAGAATGCATAAATTCCAGCAAGCTTGGTTTTATATATGAAATTAAGTATCTTTTCATTTTAGGAAATAGCAGGTTAACTTTTCTTTTTAATTAATTAATTTATTTTTTAAATTATTTATTTAATTTTATTTATTTATTCATTTATTTTAATTTGACCAGAGAGAGAGAGAGAGAGAAAGTGAGAAAGCAAGCCACCAGGTCTGGGACTCAAATCATGGTCGGCCATGTGGGAGTGTCCAGCGCCTTAGCCACTATGCCACCTGCTGGTCCCACTGGTTAACTTTTCAAAGTTATTTTCTTTTGTGAGAGCCAGAAAGAGACAGAAAGAGAAAGACAAGTACCCTCAACAGGGTCTCATGATGCAGTCCCGCCCCCACCACCAGCCTTCCCAGCCAACCAGGACTATGGGCACACTCCAGCATGTATAATTTGACCAGGAAACCAAACCTGTGATCTTCCTTATGGATTCTACTTCACTGGGCTTCCATTAGTGTGAGAGTCAGAGAAGGCACAAAGAACGATGGCACCCCCTACAGGGTCTTGACAATACAACCTACCCCC